TATTACCTTAAAAATATCTTCTTTTTTTTTATAATAATAGAAGTAAATGTAAGACTGTTGAATTAAAAAAATCTCTACCATAAAAAAAAAAAAACCAATAAATCCAGAAAATCTTAGATAAAAAATTTCAGCAAATCTCTCTTCAAATAAAAATATCAAATGCGTTAGGAAAGACCGATATTTGAGGAAGGTTTACGTCGAGGAACGAACGGTACATGATCAACTGGATATCGTTGACCAGATGAACGGCATCGACTGGAGGGAGCATATTTGGTACAACGTGCTGCGTTGTAAAGTACACATTCAACGCCAACACTAAGTACTCCACGGAGGGACAGGGGAGAGTGGTCCTCAGCTAATATATCAGTGAAAGCGAGCGAACAGGAAAGAGTAGTAGCGTTGAAACTTCTGCCACCGGAGTAAGTTCCCCTCTGTCTCCGGTCTAGGGTTAGGGCTTTTCGGTTTAATCTGTTTGTTTTCCGCCGAATTCCAGGTTACAGTTCTCTTCTGAGATCGTCGGTCTAGTGTTCTTCTTAAAACTTCCGTCGGCGTTCATTTTTTAAATTTTAAAGCAGCGTCGATGGTTCAAACAAGTGATTTTAGGTAGTTTTCTTCAATGCTGCTCCGATTTTACTTGTTATGGGGTTTATATATGGTATATCTTGATTTTGAAGCATGATCTGAGCTTGTTTGATGGTTTTGGTTTCCGGTTTTAGAGAAATGTTTTGTGTCATTGTTTTACTGCAGATTCTCTGACTCTTTCCCCTATTTTTGCTTTGATTTTCTGCAAAAATAAAATATTTCTTTCTGAGTTTTTGGCACATTTTATTCCCTTTACTTTTATTATGTTATAAAAATGTCTATGCATTTTTTTTTATTCTTTTTAATAAAGGAAAATTCTAAAAATATTTTCCTTTTGTATTTATTGGATAAATCTCTTTGTTTTTGCTTTTATTTAATATTTTTTGGTGATTCTCTTTTATTTCTTTTTCTTATTTTCCAAGTAAATATATTTCTTCGATTTGGAGAATATTTCTGGGCTTGTTTTAGTATAATCTATATTTAGTTGCTGTCTCTTCCTTTTTACGTGGATCTGTGCTTACTTATCCATTTCGTGCTTGTTACATTGCAGCTGTTCGGCAAGCTACGCAGGGTCTCTGAAATTTTAGGTAATAATCTTGCACATCCTATGCATGTTAGTTTTTTCCAATCATACAATGCAAGATATCTCATTTTATTATATCAAAAATTGTTAGTAGGTTTTTGAACTTCCTCTACCTGGGTTGAACTCTGCGAAATACAGTCGGTCTTCTCTTGACATTTGTTAACCCTAAAGGTTACGAATGACAATGTTATCCCATTTTGCTTGCTATTTATCGTTTCATATTTTGAGAAAAGTTTGACATTTTCTGGAATTGCATGTGGGTCTTTCACTTGATCGTTCTTTACATATATCATTCAGGTTTGACGTCGTAGAGGGTTATTCTGTTTGTTCTGGTAAGTTAATAATGCCTGTGTTAGTCGTGCAAGGGATTAATGCGCTAGAATGATATTTTAAGCATTCTTGGTGTACATTTCTTTTTTTTTTGATGATTTGTTTTATCTTTTTCTGGAATTTCGTGCCTTGTTCTTCTCCAACTGGATTCGCTTATTTCCTTCCTTTTTAGGATATGGAGTCGGAAGGAAATGGGGCACATGATGATTTGCCCCCTCCCCCACCAGTGCCACCAAATGTTGTTCCGATTCGAGCTGAACCAGATGTACAGCAGGTCAAGAAGAAACCAATGCGTACTCCTATAGCAAGAAAGGGCCTTGGTTCTAAGGGGCAAAAGATCCCTCTTCTTACTAATCACTTTAAAGTCAATGTGACTGGTGTTGATGGTCACTTCTACCATTATAGTGTATGTCTTATACATTGCTTCTTCCTGCTTCCCCTGGTGGCATCTCTCCTTTTCTCCTACTTTTTATGTGGTCACTAATTCAAATGGTTAAAAGCACATCTTGTTGATTTGACAGATTGCGATTGCATATGAAGATGGGCGCCCTGTTGATGGCAAGGGTGTGGGCCGTAAAGTCATGGAGAAGGTACACGAGACTTATGGTAGTGAGTTTGGTGGTAAGAATTTTGCTTATGATGGCGAGAAAAGTCTATTCACTGTTGGTGCTCTACCAAGCAACAAAGTTGAGTACAATGTTGTGCTAGAGGACATTTCATCGAATAGGTAGACATTTGCAATTTAATTTCTGGCTGTTACCATCATCACTTTTTTTTTTTTTTTGTGTGATCTAATTTAGTTGAATAATTATGTGTGTATATAGGAACAATGGAAATGCGAGTCCAGATCATTTTGATAGTCCCAATGAGTCTGATAGGAAGAGATTGAGGCGGCCATATCGATCCAAAACATATAAAGTTCAAATAAGTTTTGCTGCCAAAATTCCGATGCAGGCAATTGGAAATGCGCTTCGTGGTCAGGAGTCAGAAAACTCTCAAGAAGCCTTAAGGGTACTGGATATCATTCTCAGGCAGCATGCAGCCAAACAGTGAGCAAATTTATGTTAAATGTGTATGAGTCCTCTTATATTTCCTGCTGGATTTGATGCTAATTTTGAAGTTACCTGGACTATCACAGAGGATGCCTCCTTGTTCGTCAATCATTCTTCCACAACGATCCAAAAAATTTTGCCGATATAGGAGGTGGTGTCCTTGGCTGCAGAGGATTCCATTCAAGTTTTAGAACCACTCAAGGGGGCTTGTCTCTGAATATTGGTTGGATAGTTTCTGTCATCCCTTAAATAATTTTGCTGTCCTTTGTATGGTATTGTTTGTCTTACTTCTTGCATTCCTGTTGCTTACAGATGTATCCACTACCATGATAATTCAACCTGGTCCTGTGGTGGATTTTCTAATTGCCAACCAGAATGTTAAAGATCCCTATTCTCTTGACTGGGCCAAGGCATGAATTCTGCCTGTTTCTGTTGTTTAGCAGATCTCTGTTCCATTCCTTTCTTCTTCTTTTCTTTTCTTTTCTTTTTTTGTTTTTGTTTTTGTTTTTGTAAAGCTTTTGTTGCTTGCTTCTGTTGACAGGCTAAACGTATGCTCAAGAATTTAAGGATTACTGCAAACCCATCGAATCAAGAGTACAAGATTACTGGATTGAGTGAAAAACCTTGCAGAGAGCAGACGTAGGTTTTTCTGATATTGTCTCTTTTTCCTGTTAGCTATGCTGTACAGGCAATTACATTACATTCCGTTTTCCATGTTCTAAGTTCTAGTGATGTTCTTATGGGACCTTTCTGTTTCTGGTTCTTCTGTTTTTAGGTTTGAACTGAAGCAAAAAGGTGGAAAGAATGAAAATGGTGAAGCTGAGACAATTGAAGTAACCGTTTATGAGTACTTTGTTAATTATCGCAAAATAGAGTTGCGATATTCGGCAGATCTGCCGTGTGTCAATGTAGGGAAGCCCAAAAGGCCCACTTATATTCCTCTAGAGGTAAATGATTTTGTTGTGGTTTAGTTGTTTCAATAAATCTTGTGCAATGAATTATTGTTGTTGTCAGTGTTCTCTGAACCTGTTGCAAATATGTAGCTCTGTTCGTTGGTGTCACTGCAGCGCTACACAAAAGCTCTCTCAACTCTTCAAAGAGCTTCACTAGTTGAGAAATCAAGGCAGAAGCCCCAAGAAAGAATGAGCATTTTAACCAATGTAGGTCCTCTGAGCTTTTGATTTGCAGTGGTTTTCTGCTTGTTAAGCTTTATCTTTTTGAGTCTTATTGTAGGCTTTAAGAAACAGCAAATATGATGCTGAGCCCATGCTTCGTTCATGTGGCATCTCAATCAATTCTAGCTTTACTCAAGTTGAGGGTCGTGTTTTGCCAGCTCCAAGGGTACGTTATTCATTGTTGATTTGGTCTTGTTTTGTTTCATTTCTATGTCTATGTGTCTGTGTTTGAATGTTTTAGGATTATTTTTAGAGGTCCTTTGAGTTTTAATGTAACTCTAAAGTAATTTCCTTTTCATTTCTGACAGTTGAAATTTGGCAATGGGGAAGATTTTTCCCCTCGAAATGGGCGATGGAACTTAAACAATAAGGTATTCTGCCTTTCCTTTAAATCTTATTGGTGATATAATTGTTGATTTCTTAAATGTCCATATATGGAAAATATTTCTACAGAAACTAGTAGAGCCAACTAAGATTGAAAGATGGGCTGTCGCAAATTTCTCAGCACGGTGTGATACTCGTAACTTGATTAGAGATCTGATTAAAATTGGACAAATGAAAGGAATAGTAAGTCCCTTTGATTGCAATTCTTATCTTCCAAATATTGAAAATTCTAATTATTGACATATTACAGCATTTTTGTCTTTTATATAGAACATAGACGAACCCTTTGATGTGTTTGAAGAAAGCCCTCAGTTTAGACGTGCCCCAGCTGTGGTGAGGGTGGAAAAAATGTTTGACGAGATTCAGTCTAAACTTCCTGGAGCTCCACAGTTCCTTCTCTGTTTACTTCCTGAGAGAAAAAATTGTGATATCTATGGTCGGAACAATCTGATTAGAACTTTTGTTTGATACGACTGTTTGAAGTTTGAACCTTTGTCTTATAAATTGATTCTATTAAATCTTTCAGGTCCATGGAAGCGAAAGAATCTTGCCGAATTTGGTATAGTCACTCAGTGTATGGCTCCAATGAGGGTTAATGATCAGTATCTCACAAATCTTCTTTTAAAGATCAATGCTAAGGTCAGCTACCATGTGGAGAAAAAATGTTATGGGTAACTTAGCATCTATTCGTATTTTTACAATGTTGTTTCACCTCACAATCTCTTAATTTGCTAACCTGCAGCTGGGTGGACTGAATTCATTGCTAGCAATTGAACGTACACCTGCAATGCCAATGATATCTAAGGCTCCCACTATCATTCTTGGAATGGATGTCTCACATGGATCTCCTGGGCAGTCTGATATACCATCAATTGCTGCGGTATCCTGTTTCTCCTTATTTTGCTACCTTGTTGCTTTTGATTGTCAACCATTTTTGCTTATCTTTTTTTGAATTTCTTCACTACCATTTTCTTTTCACTGCATTCATTTCTTTGTCATGAAGTGGAATTATTTCAATCATGCCTAACAATGTAGGTTGTCAGCTCGAGGCAGTGGCCATTGATTTCCCGGTATAGGGCATCTGTACGCACCCAATCACCAAAAGTTGAAATGATTGACTCTCTATTCAAGAAAGTCTCTGACAATGAAGATGAGGGCATCATTAGGTAAGTTCTATATTTCAGTCTTAATTTGGGATGGGCTTATTTTGTTTGTTTCTTAACTAATATGGGTCTTTTTTGAGTTCCAGGGAGCTCCTGTTGGATTTCTACACAAGTTCTGGGAAAAGAAAGCCAGATCAGATAATCATATTCAGGTTTCTATTTATTCCATTTTTCCATTTGGCATTTGGCTATGGAGATTTACCGTTAATGATTTTTTTTTCCCACTTTTAAGCATGTATACTTTGTTATGATCTTTACTCAATTTTCCACATATGATATCCATGTATTCTGTTGTGCTAAGTCTGTTTGTTATGTTGTATATATTGTGCAATGTTTTTTACATTATTGTTCATTTCTGTTTCAGGGATGGTGTTAGCGAATCGCAATTCAATCAAGTTCTTAATGTCGAACTTGATCAAATTATCGAGGTACTGTGTTTAAGGTGAAATTTAAACCCGTAAATTTGGATTATTTTCAAGAAAATGACAAGGGAAAAAACTTGTAAATCTTTCTAGGCCTGCAAGTTTCTTGATGAAAAATGGTCGCCGAAGTTTGTGGTGATTGTTGCCCAGAAAAACCATCACACAAAATTTTTCCAACAGGGAGCTCCTGATAATGTTCCACCCGGTAAGTCCTTAAATTCATGATTTCATGTGGATCCCCATTTTGTTGGATATGTAACCCTTATGTTAGTACTTGGGTTTTAATGCAGGCACAGTTATAGACAGCAAAATTTGTCATCCTCGGAGTAATGACTTCTATCTATGTGCACACGCTGGAATGATTGTGAGTATCTTTTTATATATATGAGGTGATGGATTTATGAATTAAATGTTCTAGCTTTATGGACAAACTCACACTGGATTGTTTTGTAGAGTGAAATGCCTAGGAAAGCAGAGGAGTAATAAGGATGTTTGCTATACTGAAATGTAGTTGTGGCTTGTGTGTTTTGTTTGGCCATTCATAGTTTTAGAATGATAGATGTCCGTTAGAATACCTATTCACTTGCTAGGTTGTCTGTATAATCCCTGCACCTCTCCTTTTTTTTTTTTTTTTTTAATTATTTTTTTGATAAAGCAATCCATTATCTGATTTCGTTTAGAAGTGTGTTTTAAGCCCTCTTCAGGGACTGGAAACACACATGCTAAATCATGAAATTTTGGGAGGGACATGAGAACCAATTGTAGACAACGTTGTCAAAGCCAAGCTGATATTTGTTTAAGTAAAAACTAATACAAGTTTAGGGCTTGCTGTTGCACCCACTTCTTTCTACTCTCCTTCAAATATGTGCACGAGGGTGTGGAATTTATCTAATAGACTAATATGCTTAATACTCATTTTTTTTTTGGTAAAATATACTTCTCATCTCTCATCTTGAAGTTTTGCTATTTAATTGTGTGTTCTATGTGCAGGGAACCACAAGGCCAACACATTATCATGTGCTACTAGATGAAGTGGGCTTCTCTCCAGATGACTTACAAGAGCTTGTCCATTCTCTTTCCTATGTGTAAGTATATTGTTTAGTGGAGAAGTTGCCTCCTTGATCATTTAGGTTGCCGAGACTGTTCAATCCTTACAAACTACCCCTATTATTGCAGGTACCAGAGGAGCACCACTGCTATTTCTGTAGGTAATGTGCTGATCTATTTAAATAAATGGCAGTCATTAGACAGCTATCTCATAATGCAATTAAGTCTTGAAGTTTTTTTTTCATGTTTATTATGTACTTTTGAAGTTTTGAGTTACATTTAAGAGAGCAAGGGATTTGTATTGCAGTTTTCAGTAATAACCATGTGCTTGCACCCTTTGCAGTTGCTCCAATATGCTATGCTCATTTGGCAGCCACCCAGGTGAGTTCATTCATCAAGTTTGAAGAGTCATCTGAGACCTCATCAAGCCATGGTGGGATGACAGCTCCTGGGCCCATTCCCGTCCTCCAGCTGCCCAGACTGAAGGATAATGTTTGCAATTCAATGTTCTTCTGCTAAGGCTGGATTGTCTATTTCTCTAATGTGCGTGGACACAGTCTGTACAGCTTTAGTTTTCGGCACAAGCCACAAGAACACTTTGTGAAACTTCCAGGTTCAGCATAGGCCATGTGTGAGGGGCCTTCAGTTCAGAGTGATGTCATAGTAGCTTGATATGCGTCACTCATTTTCACTTGGATCATTTGTGGATGCTATAACCTCTTCGACTTTTTAGTTAATGTGGCTTGTTATGAATCTTTTCAATTGGTTTTGCTGCGTTACTGCTGCAATTTGAAGTTTTATGATGCAATGCCTTTTCTCAAAACAAGTGCTCTCGTACTTCGAGTATAAGTTTTCTTTAATGCAAGAAAAATCATAGGTTTTTATTAAATGAGCTGAGGGTAATCTTTCTTAAAGTGGAAAGGTGAAGATCCGGACCAAAGCAGAGGCCAGCGGCAGAACCACTTGAGTCTGGATGGAGCTGGTGAGTAATGCGGAGCCATTTGGGAAGGAATCCAGTGGTAGGGTGCCATTCTTGGGTGGAAATATTGGAGAGGGAGGGGCAGACCCTGAGCTTCATTCCTTTGAGACAGTAAATCCGTTGGCTAATGAAATAATATGTCTCTGCCTTGCTCAGATTGAACACATCCCTTCCTCCCCTCGTTATGTTCTTGATTAAGTTGGTATCGATGCAGTTCTCATAGCTTGTCTGGTTCACTTGCAGAACATTGAACTGATACTTGTTGAAACCGAAATCTTACACACAAAGGTAGTAGAAGTTAAAAGGATACTGTTATATGCAGTATTCCAATTGAGCCAAAATTGTGAGAAAGTAACTTACAGAGCCAGTCACCGACGAAGAAGATCTCATGACTGGCCCAATCAGTGAAGTTAACGTCTGGTCGCCAGGTATGGCAGCCACCTCCAACCCTGTGCAGAACTGGTTGTCGGCACTCTCTGCAGGGCATTGTCACCACCACCAGCATCAAGAAGGCGAGGGTTTTTGTCCAAGTTTCCATTTTCACCACTCTTTTCCCCCCTGATTAAAGGTACAAAAACTACAATTTCACGTGATTTGCGCTCATGCTGTACAAATCTTATGTTTGCAGAATGAGAGCTGGCACCAGAAACAATCTCATTTTGGCATGATCTAGGTCACAAAGATCCCATGACCAAAATCATGCTATCATGGTTCTGCTTCCATTTCTTGACCATGGTGTTGGAGTAAACTCTAATCTTAATTGAAGGCAAATATATCAAACAATGTTCCAAATCAAGCTAAAACATCTGTTTTTCTCAAATTAACAAATCTCGTTTTTCAATATCAGTATAGACATAATTGATTTCAACCCAACAATAATATAAATGGAGAGACGAAGGTCCAGAACGCAGTGAGTAGAAGACAAACTCGGCAACATGAGATTGATGAAGAAGCATTTTTGGGCGAAGAAGGTGATGGCTTTGGTGGGACGTCTTCCACATTGACGGCAACTTTCAATCCATTAAAGCAGAAGCCTCTGCCGCTGATGAAGAAATATTGCCTCACTTCACTGAGCTGAAAAACATCCCGGCCGCCTTTGGTTATATTTGTTATGAAATCAGTGTCTATGCATTTCTCGTAGCTGGTCTCATTCACCTCCAGAACGTTATACATGTTCTTGTCGAATCCAAAATCTTGTGAAATGAAAATGAAAACAGGAAGATGAAAAGGAATTAGACCTATAAAATGTTTTTAACTCATGAAAACGATAATTTTTCTTTAGAAAACTTACAGAGCCAGTCTTTGACGTAGAAATGTTCATCGCTGGACCACTCCGTGAAGTTGACGTTTGGTGCCCAGTTATACTTCCCACCTCCGACGAAGTGAATGTTTTCACCTTGTGCCGCCTTCAAGATATTCGCCAGCGACACCAACCACAGCGCCGTTTTCATCAATCCATCCATCTTCTCAAAACTGTTTCTTCCTCTGGGACAATTGTGAATATGCAAAAAGCGTATTACAGGACAGAAAAGCATTCGGTTTTAGTATTGGACTTGAATTTGAATTTGATTCTGAGATTTTCTCCTCGCAAAACAATGGAAATATGGAGAACCCTGTTTGGAGAAAAATCTACTGTTTTGGGAAAGTTCTTTTCTGTAAAAGGAAATACAATTCATCGTCCAGTTTTGGAGAAAATTACAGCAAAATCACAGCAGGATACATAAATTTGAATATCCCAGGCGTAAAGATCAAAACTTGGATATCTTATTGTTCAATTTTCAATGGTCACAACAACCATAATATAATGTTCCTTTTTCTCATTTTGAACCTTGTTAGTTTCACAATATGTACAAAAATGCCTTGTGGGGGGTGGGGGGGAAGAGTGAAATTAATGCACAGGCACCACCTCAAGCTTGCAGACAACTCAAGAAACAAGGATATACCCGAGCCAGAAAGCCTAAAAAGGTTTTAGGACCACAAAAGGCTAAGCCTCGGGAGTCAGCAGCAACTCTCACCGAGGTGGGTACATTCCCCCCTGATATAACATACAAAATTCCTTGGCGTACAAAACCAAATGAAATACACAGGCCCATCAGCTCAAACTTTCTCTGGTTATCAAAATTGTGAGACATACAGCACTGGCTAATGGCTGTCCTCTTTGATGCTTGTATTCCTCTCCTTGGCACGGAAGTCATCCAGACTACGGTATTCTTCTTTTAGCAACCTATCCAAATCTGGATGTTTCTTTAAAGGCTCTTTCTGATCACGTTGCTCCCGATAGTGATGGAATGCCCTGCCAAACAATTCCTAATTAAATGAAAGGAAAGGTAAAGGATGTGGCAGTAGACTGGTGAAAACAGCAGCTGTATATGATTTGTGAAGAAGGCATATATCAATTTGTGGTCATGAACTGAGAAGTAAGAACTGAAACAATACGAAAACAGTAGGTACCAATATTTTTCAAGACCATAAAGATTGCCTTTATGATAGAAGTCAAGAGCGAGCTGCTCAAAATCCTTGCACAAGTCCTCTCGATATTCCTTCTCCAAACCATAACTGAAAAAGGAAGAATTGAATAAAAAAACATGCAAGGAAAAGAAAATTTGGAAGATTGTTCTTCCATGAATTTGAGTCAAACTCCTAGAAAGACCATAATGAATTAACAAAACTTGAAAGGTAGCATCAACAATGCCATGAAAGTGAAAAAGGTGTCATTATCTATGATACCTATAGAACCTGAAGAGACATTCTATCCCATAATTGTAATTAGCAGCAGCATCCTCAAGAGCAAATTTACGGAATTCATTATACATTGAAGAAACAAACATATCTCGGAGGAAGTATGACCAGAACCTGTACAGTGTATTCATTTCCTGCACGCAAAACCAAAGGGCATATTTCAGAATCTCAGATGGACAAACAAAATATATTACTGATATCAGGAGATACCAATTTAACTGAAGCAAAATGCAAAGGCAGAAGGAAAGGACTTCTTATCCCATTGCACCAAAACAGTCCTTAAATCTAAGTTTCAATTGGATTTCAAGTAACAGATGGACCACTCAGATGTCAAAGAACTGGAACTTTGAACCAGCATGATAAAACAACAGAGATCTTACCGAAAACTTTCCCCCAGACAGTAAGGGAGAAGAAAACTATTACTAAGGGAATATGCTTCCAGTTATGACACTAAGGTCATGTCTGGTTTAATGTTAGACTATTTTGAGGTTATTGTATGAAAATAAGAAAAAACAGAGGGAGACTGCACGAGTATGGAAAGTTAGGAGTATGGTGGGCATAGCTATTGCCACCTCTCCAGGTTTAATTATTCCCACATTATTCCTACTTGAAGAAAATAGATAATATAAGTCATTCCATTATATCTTATAGTCTTCCAACTTTCCCGCAGTCTTCCTCTATTATATCTTACTTTCATTCAAAAACCACGGATTAAGCCATTCCATTGAACCAAATATTACCTAAGAGTTAGTAAATGCATTGAGAGAATATTCAGGTATCAAACTTACCTCACTGCAACCAATTCCCAATTTCTTCCTCTCATTTAGACAACGCTTACGAAATTTCAGATACCTGAATATAAGAGCAACCACTTGAGCTAACTTTTCTAACTGATCAAATAGGGGAGCTAACTTAACAAGTGTTGTCTAACTCTTATATGCAGCCCAAGTGCATAAAATTCCACAATATATCCCTGGCAAGAAACATGCAAAATAAATGAACAAATTAGAAAAAGTTCATCATCTCCTTACTTCTGTTGCTTAAAACCATTTTCTTCCAGTAACTGATGACTTGGATGCTGGAAATGTGGGAATGACTTTGGCAGTGAACCCACAGGTGGGCTATTACCAGAGAGAAATCCATGTGGTGAACCACTCAATTTTGAAAGCCGAGGACTGTAAAATTCAAATTGGACTTGCATGAGCTATGCAAGTAAAAATGTCAAAAAGTCGTCATTCACTAAAACTCCATCATTCAGTTAGTTGTAGATTGAAAATGCTTACTTTTGAAACCAACCAATAGTTGCACTAATTTTCAATCTCAAAAGAAAGAAAGTGTATAACTAGCACATTAATCAAATGTACTTTTAGTTGAAAAAGCCAATAGTCAAACAAACTGACCCATAATTATCTGGAGGTGTTGAACCAAAGAAATATCCAACTGAATTGCTTGGTGGACTTTCAGAAATTATTCCAAGAGAATTGCGACTAGTTCCATGATTCTTAAAGTTGCTGGAGAAAAATCTCTGCTTATGGAATGATTGTTGCTTAGAGAAACCTTTATTTTGCTTCCTTCGGGAATTGGCACTTCCTGACTCTTCAAGACCACTGTTTCCAGCAGCATGTTCACCTGTCTTCAGTGATGATACTCCAGATGCAAATCTTGGAGACTTTAAGCTTCCATCTTTGTTCTCATGTATAGGGCTATTCTTTTTACTAATAAAATGTTTACTTTCGAGTTCCTGCCAAAAATAACAATATCAAAGAATTTTAGTTTCGCTTAAAGAAATCCTAAAAGGAGCATATCAATAAATGCAAATTAATCAACAGCAAATCACCAACCTGTTCGTAGTAGTAAAGACCATCATTTATAGTAGCGGCAAGCTCACTAGAGATGGATTTTGAATCTCTGTCACCAGTTTTTGATCCTTCACTGATTCCATTATTCTGCACAATGGAAGAAAGGAACATAGAGTGAGGAGTGCATCAGCAAACAAAATTTTTGCAAGATCTTAAAATCAAAATAGATTCAAGGATTTACAATTTGGAGGAATCTACAGAAATAGTAAATAAATTACTAAATGAGATTTGTAAAATTAAAGAACTGAGTGAGGCCATAAAATGATACCCTCTTTTGAAACACTAACTACAAAGTTCTCAATCTGGCCAAAAAGAGAAAAAACAAAAAAATAAAAAGTAGTATTCAACAAAGGAAAGGTTAAAAAAAAGCTAACAGCTAGTAAAACCTATTACCCCTTTACCTGGGTGACAATTACAAGTTTCTGAACAGCCTGATCATGGACAATCATCTCATCATCTTCATCATCCAATCTGGCAAGAAACCCATCAAGATACTCGAAGAAATGTAATTAGCATATAGGAACTCATGTTTAGCTAGTATATCAGCAAGAAACAGGAAATATTTAGCAAATGTGTTTCACAAGACACAATTGCAAATTGGAGATAATCTTGTTCTGATAAAAATGGCAAAATAGGATTGGAAGGTCAGTTCTACTTATGGCCCTAGGAAAAAAAATAACAGGTTTGAATCCTTAATCTGAACACTGTAAAGGACCTCTTGGCTTAAAACTTCAAGAAGATACTCATTAAAATGAAGACACCGACTGTCAAAATTTGATGAAATAACCACAACCTGGACTCGAAGTTTCATTCTCTCTTATTGGAAAAACAGAAACCCAAGATCCATATCAACCTGATCTCACACTTCTTCAGCTCATGCCCAAAGGCCTAGAGCTGCCTTTCTTCAAAATTATAATTCATCAGTTTTTTCATAAGTATCTTGGCTATATGTCAAGGGATGGCCCTCCCCTTTTCTCAAACCCCTCTTTTAAAATTCCCAGGTTTGAACCTAAAATTTCAAACTTAGAAGTCTCATTCTCAAAAACAATTGGGCTGCATACTTGGAACAAAAGTAAATTCACATAGTTAAACAACAAAGCGAAATGTGCCATGTAAATAGCAGAAAATTTTAGTACCTTCTAACTGTTGAAAGACCATCCTTCTTTAGTGTTTTTTGCTCAAGCTCTAGCTCTTCATCAAGCATAAATGTGTTTGTAAAATCATTTGACAGGTCACAATTATTTTGTGCAGCTACATCAGACGATAATTCCTGGCTTTCAGTTCCGTGGTCACTGATGCTAGCAGGTTCAACTTGTGGTGACTGGTTCACATCTGGGAATTTGATGTCGGATTCAGATATTGACTTTCTATCCAAGTCAACACTTCCACCAGAAAAATCTTGTTTTTCAACATTTAACATAACATTTGTAATGTCACGTTGGCTATTGCTTTTACATGTTATAGCTGAAGCATCTTGGCTCAAAGATATGCCCTGCAAAATTTCAGTATTCAATGGGGCTTCAGCATTTTCTCCAGTGTTGTCCTTTGGGTCATCTTCATTGACATCAGCATTCCCACAAGGATTGGTAACATTCACCTGAGCTTCTGAAGACAATGCAATGGTTGCAGGAGCAGGAATCCACTTGACCCACTCATTACGTCTCCTTATCTTGTCACCCTGAAATAATAACACCAGCTGAATGGTACAACTCTAGACCAAGAAAAAAATAAAAAAGAATCATGCAAAGTGAGACTGCTCACTAACATAATCCCCAATGCTTTGGCATTACTATACTTTGGCAACCTGGATTGGTTCTAGAAAGTCATATAGTTTTTTTAGATCTTTCTTTAATTTGAAAGAAAACACACTAACGATGTTAAGGTAGAAGTGGATGCACCAACTCTTAGCTCCCTAAAAATTTAGGTCAAATTTTATACAGCTACATTAACAGCATTATTAAGATTCAGCAAGATTGAAAAGGATTTCCAGAATAAGAAGTACACAGTGGTAAAAGTTTTAATTTTTGGGAAAGAAGAAACTTGTTGAAAAGAAAATTTCAATCAAAATTATCATGAAATCTTGGATTGGGTGATTCAAAGCCAATTTAGGGTGGAATTTGATCCTATGGATTCTGTACTGGAAACTGAACATTTTGGACCAACAAAGATTCCTGACATGGGGCAGGTTAGGGTGTATAGTGGTTTTATTAGGGTTTGCAGGGATCTATTGGGCTGATTTAGAGGTAAAAAGGGTAGCAAAAGAGAAGATAAAGCAAAAGATGGAAGAACACTTGGAGTCACACTTAGGTTTCTTTAGGTGTCACAGACGCATGATTGCTTGACACAAAATCAAGAGATTATTCTTGCTGAAATTTCAGGTTAAATTTACATCTAAATAAACCCAGAATAGGCATGAAACCTGACCTGCACTTCCACGGTACTAGAATTGAGCAGTGCATCAAGGATAAAAGGTATGTCTGTACACATTCTCTTAACCTGAAACTCCAAAAAGTTAAGAGTAGAGTTAATGCTTCTCAAGCAACTTAAAAAAGAAAAATATTATGTTACTAGGATGCACCAGCATGCACTTTTAACCTTAAATGAAGATAGCAGCAGTGTATGATTTGCACTACTTTAACAAAAACAGTAAGCAGAGGTGCACTGAAACATACCCTTTTAAAGTCTGCAATTGCAGATATTGCAACCAATCCTTGATTGTCCATCAAGGAAATTAGGTAATGATCATTCTGAAGATTTTCATCACTGCCAAAGAAAACTTATGAAGTCAATAAATAACAAAAATACCATATTAACAGATGAGTACTGGTAGTAAATAAATATCAAATGGTTCAGGCATGATGGGGTTATCGAGAAATGGAAGCCAACATGTGCCAGGATGAGTATCAAGTCATCATCCACTCAAAGATATCCTCAAAACAGATTTTATAACATCAATTGTTGCAATGATGCTCAGTTCTTCAATGCCCCAAATTAGCAGCAAAAGATTTGAGCATTTAAACAGCAATAAAGAAAACAACACATCAATTCTGTACCATGGACTTTCCAATGACAACCTTAAGCAGTGATACAAAAACAATAAGCGCTTGGAATAGAAATTAAAAATCAGAGGGGATCCTTCTCCCATGACTTACCTAAAATAATACTCAATTTGTTTTACAATACTGGCCCTCAACTCTACTGTCTCAGGGGGCAGCATAGAGGCCTCCAGATTTGTAGGAAATGGAGCAAAACGTGGAGGATGAGGTGCTCTCATAGAGCCTGGAAGTGCAACAGGTACATAACATATGGGTCCTGGAACATAGAATATAAGTCACTTCTAACAGAGTTCATTTGATAAAGAAACAAGATGAATCTGAATGGCTGATATGCATTGTGAATGAATTTCTAGGCCAATAAAGCAACAAAACATTTGAATGAAAGTGCCATTACAGAGGGAACAAGTCATTACCCTGGATGCCTGGACCAATCATGACTGGCACCGGACCAAGGAACTGAGGTCTAGGAAAAGGCCTTGATCCCATACCCTGTTGCATAGGAACATTATCTCTAGGAGCAAACGTTCGTTGATGATGCCAGCCAGGATTCCAATGGACACTAGGTTCTTGCATGTTAGGCCTTCTATTAGAAAAGTTGACAGCATAAAGACTGGGATCTCCGCGTGGAGGAGGTCGCATGTTCCTGCTGGCATCTATGCTTTGAACTGGGGGAACAAAGGCTTGCATTGCTGCCTCGGATCCAGGAAGGTGTCCAGGTAAAGGTGGGTAAGCATACCCAGGAATTGCAATGTGTGGTTGAGGTAACATTGCAGGAACAATTCGTAATTGTTGTTGACGATGAGGGTAGTGTACAGGAAAAGGAGGCGTGACATTTGGATTGCGCTTAGGGCCCAACCTTTGATTGCGTGCTGAAGAATGTTTATGGGAGACATTATT